GCCGCCCCCCCCCTCGCTCCCTGTCGGTGGGCCTCCCCCCCAGCCACTCCTCTCCCAGTTTGTAGCTGGCGTTACTCCATCCTAGGTGCAGAATCCGGCATTTGGATTTGTTAAATTTCATCCCATTGTTCATTGCTGAATGCTCCAATCTATCTAGATCCCTCTGCAAGGCCTCCTGTCCCTCAAGAGAGTAAACAGCACCTCCCAGTTTTGTATAATCAGCAAACTTGCTAATGGTGCATTCAACTCCTGCATCCAGAGCGTTGATAAATACATTGCACGGAACTGGCCCTAGAATTGAGTCCTGAGGAACACCGCTGGTGACCAGTCACCAGCCGGATGCAGCGCCATTCACTACAGCCCTTTGAGCTCTGCCCTTCAGCCAGTTCTTCACCCAGCGCACCATGAACTTGCTCATGCCACAGTTGGACAGCTTGTCCAGAAGGATGCTGTGAGGGACAGTGTCAAAAGCCTTACTAAAATCCAGAAAAACTACATCCACTGCCTTCTCCCCATGCACTGGGTGGGTAACCTTATCATGGGTACCAAATTGGTTAAACAGGACTTTCCCTTTGTGAACCCACGTTGACTGTGCCTGGTGATTGCATTATCCTTTAAATGCCTTTCAATAGTACCCATAATTTTTCCAGGAACAGAGGTTAGATTAACAGGTCTGTAGTTCCCTGGGTCTTCCCTCATGCCCTTTTTGTAGGTTGGAAAAAACATCGTCTAGCTTCCAGTCAGCAGGGACCTCCCCAGACTCCCGAGACTTTTGGTAGATGACGAGAGGGATCCTGCCATAAAATCCTCTAGCTCCATCAGTACTCTGATGAAGCCCATCAGGCCCCATGGACTTGTGAACATTCAGCTGATGCAGCTGGTCCCTTACAATTTCAGTGTCCACAAACAGAAAGTCACTGTTCCCACACTCATGGCCCTCCGACACACCAGAGTGCCCAAGGTCTATCAGTATTATTAAAGACTGACGCAAAAAAAAAAAAAAGCCTTGAATGCCTCTGCTTTTTCTTCATCCCTATTAGTCAGATGACCATATTCAACAAATATCGGTCCAATGTCTTCTTTAGACCTTCTCTTGCTATTAATGTACTTAAAAAAGCCCTTCTTGTCTGATGCAACACTGGCCAGTTTCAACTCTAATTGAGCTTTGCCCTTTCATGTCTTCTCCCTGTGAACCACAGCTCTGTAATCTTCTTGCAAAGCCTGATCTTGCTTCCAAAGATCACAATTCCTTTTTCCTCTTGAGCTCCACGAGGAGTTTCCTGTTCAGCCAAGCTCCTCTTCTGCCCTGCTTCTTTGACTTATGACACAGTGGAATTGCCTGCTCCTGTGCTTCTAAAAGGTGCTTCTTAAAAACTGACGGGTAGTTGTGGACTCCTAAACCCTCAAAAACAGATTCCCAGGGTACTCTACTAAAGAGCTTCCTGAATAGCTTATAGTTTGCTCTCTTGAAGTCCAGGGTAGCAATTTTCCCGTCCTTTTTTCTCATTACACTGAAAATTTTAAACTCAGCCAATTCATGATCATTGCAGCCAAGAGAGCCACCCACCATCACATCTCCCATGAGTCCTTGTCTATTCACAAATAGCAAGCCTAGGAGGGCATCTTTCCTAGTTAGCTCACAGAGTGCTTGTGATAAGTTATCTTCCACAAACGCCAAGAATTTCCAAGACCTGCTCATCACAGCAGTGTGATATTCCCAAGTGATGTCTGGGAATTTGAAATCTCCCGTATGGACAAGGGCTACTGGTCCAGAAATGTCTCCTAATTGCCTATAGACTAACTCATCAGTGTTTACATCCTGGCTGGGTGATCGGTAGTAAGCACCCACTACAACATCTCTGTTGTCTTCCATCCCCTAATCCTCACCCAGAGGCTCTTAACCACAACACCGCTAACTGTAAGGGCCGTGCAATGAAACCTCTCCCTTACATACAGTGTGACACCTCCACCTTGCCTGCCCTGCTTATCCCTCCTGAACAGCCTGAAGCCCTCCATCCCAGCACTCC